CGGGTTTCCACAACTTCTGCAGTGAGAGTTATGGGGAATACGCAGTTTCTCTGCGTGAGTTCCTAACCACCAATGACCAGTAAGAACCGCGATAAGCCTTGCAGTGTTTACGCGATCTTTTTTGATGAGTTCCAGAGATTTATTTTTATTATAAGTGGGCCACGTTAACCTGGAAGTTGCACATGACCTTAGTGCTTTCCATCTGTTATTGGCGAGTTGCAGAAAGTAAAGAAAGGTACTTCTTTTGATGGTCTCCAGGGTAATATAGACTGATACCGCCAGTGACGCATCTAGGGAGGCACCAGAGCGGGCTAAACTATCAGTTTTCTCATTCCCTACGATGTTCCTATGCCCAGGAACCCAGATGAGTGTGATATCGGCCAACCGGTTTAGCTCGTCGATTGCTTCTCTACATTCTTTAACTATTTTTGATTTTGTTATAAAGGATTCAAGAGCTTTAATTGCTGCCTGGCTGTCAATAAAAATAGCAACACTACATCTGTTCTCGATGTGGCTTGCAATTTGCCGACAGGCTTCTTTTATTGCTAGGATTTCAGCCTGAAAAACCGTAGCTTCATTAGGTATCCTAAGAGAGATATTTATATTTTTAGATGGTGCGAAGATTCCTGCTCCTGCCCCACCGCTCATTTTCGAGCCATCTGTATATATTGAGATATCGTAATTTGCTTCGAAATTTTTCCTTTTCCACTCATTTCTTGAAGGGAATATTGTCTGGAAGTTCCTTTCGAAGTCTATACACGGATTCAGATAATCCGATGTCATCCTATACAGACAATTTGGCACTGTACCTAGAATCCGACTATGTCCATATGTTCGTTCTAACCATACGCCTGTTACTTTCAGTCTTACAGCGCTATTACAAACCATGTTTTTAATGTGAAGATCAATAGGTAGCAAATGCAGCATCACATTTAGGGCGTCCGAAGGAGTCGTCCTAAAAGCTCCTGTGATGCCTACACATGCCGTCCTCTGAATTCTGTTAAGTTTGTCGATATTATAGCTCTTGTTTAGAGCCGGCCACCATACGACAGCACCATATGTGAGAATTGGTCGTACAATTGCCGTGTACATCCAGTGGGTAATTTCGGGACGAATCCCCCATTTTTTGCCAAACATCCTCTTGCAAGAATAGAAAGCTACACATGCCTTCTTGATACGAAGATCGACATTGTGTTTCCAGTTTAACTTACTATCCAACAGAATTCCTAGATATTTGGCTTTTTCCGATAGTTTTAACTGTTGCCCGTTTAGTGAAGGCAACCTGAAAGCTGGTATTTTGGTTTTAGTAGTAAACAGCATCATTTCAGTTTTTCCTGGGTTAATACCTAGTCCACAACCTGTGGCCCAGGTACTTATCTTAACCAAGGCCCTTTCCATAATGTCGCTAATTATGTTAGGGAACATACCTGACACTAGAATAACCACGTCATCCGCGTACGCTACTGCTTTCACACCTATCTTATCTAGAATATTAAGAATATTATCCACGACCAGCAGCCACAGTAATGGTGAAATAACCCCTCCTTGTGGCGTACCCCTGCTGACGTGCTTCGTTTGTGTTATGCTGCCTAGCTTTGATTGAATAATCCTTGTTTTAAGCATAGTAATTATCCAATTTTTAAGCTCTTCCTCTAAACCTATTCTGGAAAGTGAGTCATGAATAGCTTTATTGCTTACATTGTTAAAAGCTCCTTCAATATCTAAGAAGGTTGCCAACGAGTATTGCTTAAAATGAATCGATTTTTCCACAGTACGAATAACCTCATGCAGAGCTGTTTCCGTAGATCTACCCTTGAGGTAAGCATGCTGGGATTTAGAGATTGGAAAGCGTTCTACCTTTTGTCTTAGGTGGAGCTCTATTACCCTCTCCATTGTTTTTAGTAAGAATGAAGTTAGGCTAATCGGCCTGTAATCTTTGGCGGACTCATGTCCGATTTTGCCTGCCTTGGGTATAAAGACTACTTTAACCTGTCTCCAACTAAGTGGTACATAACTATATTTAAGACATGCTTTGTAAATTTCCCCTAACCATGGAACCACTAAGTCTTGTAGTTTTTGCAACATAATAGGGAAAATATCGTCCAGACCTGGCGATTTATAGGGACAGAAACTGTTAATTGAATACCTAATTTTTTCCGCTGTGACTATTTCTTCAGTCATCTGAAGATCTGCATCATCGTTACAGTTTGGGAAATGAGTGTCTAATAGTAATCTTAGTGTCTCAGCAGAGGTTTCAGTCCATGTGCCGTCCTCTTTCTTGAGATAAGAAGGATTTGCACTTTCCTTGGATAAAACCTTTAGATAGCTAGATAGAATACTTTAGATAGCTGGTCATCACATTTGAAGACCCTGCAACCACGAACCACTTCTGATGAATCAAAGCCTGGTGTGGGGGCGTCTAGATTTGTTAGAAGGTGTTCCATCACCATTTCAGCCAGCTTGGGCTCAATCTCGCCCCATTTCTCCAGCACCTTTTTTCCATTCCCGGTAATATCATCAATGAGCGCCACCTGTAGCTCATCCCTTGCTACTTCGTTATATGCCCTTTTCGCACTCGTTGACGGTTTACTAGTATAACTCGTTCTCGCTACCTTGCTTTTTGAAGTATGGGCCGTCTCGTCCTGAGACCGATCCCTCTTCATTGCCTTTGCGGGTTTTGATAGGGTGGCCTGGTATTCGTTATACTCATCGACCACCTTCTGATATCGTACTTTGTCTGTACGGTCAAACGCCTGTTCTTTACCTTCAGCTTCATTTTTAGCAATCTTGCCGAGAATGAACATGGCCTTCTGGTACCTTTGACGTCTGATCTTTGCCTCAGACTTTTTTGATTTCTCGGCAGGCGCACTATGGCTGGCGCGCTTGTCTGCCGATTTTACTGTTATGTGCGAAGTAGGCGCAGTGCGGCTGCTACTGCCTACTTTGGGTAGTATGGCGGTTTCGACTCGCTCGTTTTCTTGGCTTGATGCCAGGAGCTCGTCTTCGGAACTGGTACCTAGTTCCTTGTTAGTTTTTTGTTTATTTAATTTGTTTAAAGAATCCATAAATGTTCCCACGAGTGTAGGGGAAAGGGAGGTCATCCGAAGCATAGCCCCCTTTACTTCAGAAAGGCTGAATTGAAACCGGAGGTCGCCAGGTATCCGGAGTCCACCGTTCTAAGACACACTTACGCAGTGCCATTCATCCTTGGGCACGGTCGTTCATACACCCAGGATTGCGGGTTTTATCGAGTTTTCCTCTCTAGATCCGCCATAATATGTGGCTCTGCACCACGTATGGACGGTCTTGGTTCGTCATAAACCCTGGTCCCCAGACACCTAGTGGACCTACACACTTCCATTCATTCTAAAAACACAAAGAACATACATGCATACATAGAGACAAAGACACACATACATGCACATAAACTACAGGACAACACAACTACTGGTAGTTCTTTGTTGTACCCACAAGCCAGACCGACAAAAAGGTCTTCTGACCATTGCATAGACAATGAGCAGGAGACCCAAAGTCAGCAAGCTTGCCTGTAGCTAAGCCCCTACACCACGTCAAGGTGCCTACCACGTAGGGGAGCATTATAGAGTAATGATAATGATTTTCAGATCATATGCAGAAAGTAATATCGACCTCTTGAGTATTTTGAAAAAAAAATACACATTCTGAATGAAAGGCATTCAGATGCATCCATCACCCAACTCTACAATCGTGCTATTCGTGACCCCGGTCACAGAGTCTACAATTAACAAAACCCTCGACTTTACGCAATAGCCCTATACTCTCCACTTATCTTCTATACCCTATACCACGCTCATGTTTTCTGGTTTAGAAATAGCATAGACTTCTAAGTATTAAGCCTATGCATCTCCCGATAATTACTAGAATGAAGTTTCTTATATATTTAAATTTTTGTGTGATGTATTATTAAGTAGAGTTTATTTAAATGAACTGAAGCTCTCTTACAACTTTTGAGGAATTTTCTGACACATAAAAGCTCTTTCACACGCAATAAGTAACTTATGTCAAAAAGGAAACGACAAAATTTTTAAATTATTTAAGTAACTTACTAAGTAAGCAGAAGAAACTTGT